GCCGTCGCCGCCGTCGCCGTCGCCCCGACGGGGCAGCGGCGGCGCAGCCACCCGCTTACGCGTTACGGCATCGTCTTGGGGTTGTGCTCGCGCCGGCCGACCTCGCCGAGCCGCTAGCGCGCGCGAGGGAGGCATGTGCGTTGCGCCGCTCAGCGGCCGTGGAGGGCGAGCGCGGGGGATGCGCGCGCTTACTAGTAAGTGCTACATTGTGCGTGCTGTATGTCGGTCTGCACACTGTACAGTGCCACGGTGCCAGTGGGGTGTGAATGTGAACACTGACCCTCACACACTTAGGGTTGGTCAACCATGTGGGTGTCTATGTGTTTCCCTCGGGCAGTAGATTCTTATTTCATCGTCAAAAAGCGCCCGTATTCACTTGCCAAAATCGCGACCCGGGGTGTTCGACCGGGCTAGAAGAGGGCCCCCGTTTGTAGTGAGGGCCACCTCAGTACATTGTTGTGATGCTGTGTGGTCCCGCTGGTCCGTAGTGTCTCCTTTGTAACCACGGATGCAATGCCAGACTCTGAGTGCAATGGACCTCGGGGTCGGAGCTGAACGGGACGGTCGGTCCTGGTTGCCGGGAGGAGAATGAAAGGAGTGTTCAGAAGCAAATCTCAGCAGGGACTCACTACGCCGTTACGGATACTAACCGCAGAGCAAAACGGGGTATCACAAGCGCAGCCGCCCGCGACGCCAGGGCTGTGGAAAGAAAACGCCAGTCTCTCTCCCCTCAGATGGTCACCATCTTCGGCGTTCAGCGGCTCGCCGCACCAGTGGCACATTGTGTGATCCTGTAGGACTGCGCGGTCTGCATCCAGGAATGGGTTGCCGGACTTGCCTCTTGACAGAAAGTGCTGTCCGCTGCGGTGTTGCAGGTGCCGACCTCGTGCTGGTAGGACGAGTAATCCTCGCAACGGTTCCGAAGATACACCGTGAGCTTGGTCTGCGAGCCACAGACCTTCACGCTTGGCTTAGTCTCGTCTTTCACCAAGGATGGTGGGAGGCTCCGACACTCATTCAGCAAAGCAAAGCCCGCGCTCTGGCTGTAGACCTCGACGCCTTCAATGGAGACCGACTGAGTGCTCGGGATCTCCGTGGCGACGGCGACCGTGAGCTCGGCCTGCGAGGCCGCCTTCTCCTCCGGCGGGTCCGCCTACAAAACACAGGCGCAACGCGCAAGAAGGACGTGAGGACCGTGAGCTCGGCCAGCCTCTGCGGCCGCAGGGTCTCTCTCGGCCGGGAAGGCATCTCAGAGGGTTCAGAGCAGGACGAGGTGCTCGGGTGGACACTCCAGTCTCCACGCCCCCAATCAGCTGTCAGCTCGACGCACTGAGTGCTAGTGGCGAATTGAGTGCTGGTGTGGCGCAGCAGCACCTCCCCCGCTCGAGCGGACGCGAAAGTAGCACGGAGCATGGGCACGCGCCGTGGGGGAGGGGGGCAGAGTGCACCTCGAGGAACGCCGGCTTGCCCGCGATCGCCACCATCATCACGGCTCCCGTCGCAACGGACGTGCCAACGACGGCTGCGCCGGCGAGGAGGACCTTCCACCAGGGGGTCCCCTTGGGATCGATCATCGCGTACTTACCTGCCGGAAGGCGAGCCCACGCGTGCTCAGCTCTCTCCGCCTATCTGATCTAGGGGGCAGGCTGCACGTGCTCAGTCAGCTTGATGTGCGCAGCAGGGGGGGAGCGGGGACACGCTCGAGCGGGAAGGAGGGTGAGCGGGCTGGGCCCACCGTGAGGGGAAGGGGCTGGTCACTGATCTAACGGCGGCTGCGCTGTTGGACCCGCGAGATAGGCTAGTGCCTGATCCATCACAAGGGCCGCGCACCGAGTTAGAGACGAGGCCGACGCCGGGGGGGGCAAAGTCGTCCGTCCACTTTGCGTACGCGACAATGTTTCGTGCATTTTCAGGTATACTCGGGTGTGCCGTACCATCGCGTCTACTACGAGCAGCTTCTTGGCCCGAGCCAGCGCGAGCAGCACCTGCGCCGGCTGGTTGGCTTCCTAGGAGCCAAGGCGGCAACCGGCTCGCTTCTCGGCCGCGTGGGCGGCAGCCTCGTGCCTCTGCACGAGCCAAGCTGCAGATCGCGCGTCCTCGCATATCGACGGCTGCGCGCGGCGATCCCAGGGACGCGCACGGCTGCGGCGTGCGACGCCCTGGAGAAGACTATCGGCCGCGGGGATGAGGATTCGCCAGTGGACTTCAGGCCGGAGGAGCTCCCAGCGTTCCGTGACGAACAGGCAATCCTGCCTGACGCGGCTCGCTTGACGCGGCGAAGGGCAATCCGAAACGCAATCAAATAGCGGGTGAGCGCCTTGGCAGCTGCGATCCCGTGATGGGCTTGGCCGTCTTCCCGCCCCCGAGGAGGTCGAGGTCCAGCAGGTACGGCTTGGCTTAGCGAGGGTCGTCGATGGTCGCCGCGTCGTACGAGCCCTGCTAGAGCACGTCGACAATATTCCAGGAGGCTATGTATCTGGCCTCCCGCCCGGAGGCACAGGCAGGAGGAAGGAGGGGAAGGCGCCCGCCCGGCAGAGGCGGCACTCCCCGGTGAGGCGCGGAGGGAGGAGACGAGGCCGTCGAACCTATGCCCCGCGGCGGCAGCCCCGAGGCGTCACCCAAGCAGGGCGAGCAGGCGTGGTGGAGGCGTGGCCTCTCACTTGTCTCGACGAGAGACGCGCGCGGGCGGGCGGGCGAGGGGCGTGTGCGCGGTGCGGTCACCCGCACTCTCAGAGCACAGAGCTCAGAGGCGAGCGCGACGCGCGACGTCGTCGAAGAAGGCGAGTGTTGTAAAGAGAGGAGATCACGAGTATTAGAGCCGTATGAAGGGATAGATGCATCTTCGTCCCAGTCGGATATGTATTTTTTTTGCCCCACCTACACAAAAAACTAGTAAATCCTTCCTTCTATGAGTGTGCGCTCACCTCCTCGTGCCGTACTCCTGCCGCCGGCGCCGCTCCTCCGCCTCGAGCCGCCGCCTCGCGCGCTCGTGCCTCCCGATCTCAAGGTTGGCGGCGCGGATCGACACGAGCCCGACCGGCGGCGGAAAGTCCACCCCAACGCGCCCGCCCTGCGCGTCGTACTTTGCCACCGCACCCGATCGGCCGTTGAGGTCGGCGCGGCCCCGCAGCCGGCGCGGCCTCACCTCGGCGCCGCGCGGGAAGCGCAGCTCCAGCGCCGGGACTGCGTCCACGAAGGCGAGCGGCGCGCCTCCGGCCGGGTGCAGGTGCTCGTCCAGGTGTGGGCGCGCGAGCAGGCAGCGCAGGAAAGCGTGAAAGGTGGACGGCCACCACGCCTCCTCCTCCGACCCGCCGAGCTCCTCGTCCACGTACCTGGCACGTCGTGGACGTGTCGTGCACATGCCCAGGCGATGCCGGTGCTCGTGCCCACCGTGCGAGAGAGTCGGGCTGGGAGGGCGGCCAGCATAGCGTAGAGGTGTGTGTGTGTGTGTGTGTGTGTGTGTGTGTGTGTGTGTGTGTGTGTGTGTGAGCAGCATCTAGCTCCATGTACCGCACGTACTCGCACAGCGCCGCCCAGTCGCCCGCCAACAGCGGCACCCCGTCCGCCCGCGCCAGCAGCACCTGCTCACAAGCGCCGCACGTGGACCGCCGCCGTCCGATCGCCCACTCCGTCATCGGCGGCGCGTCGGCAGCGCCGGAGGCAGCGGCCCTGTTTGCGCGGCCACAGACTGCCAGAGGAGCGGAAGGCCGAGGTCCTTCTCGGCCATGAGCTTGAGCAGCAGCATGCGCCGGAAGGCGCCGCCCTCGGCAGGCGCCGCCGCCTCGCCGCCCGCCGCTGCCGCCTCGCCGCCGCCACCCTCGTGCTCGAGTCGCAGCTGCAGCGGCACGCAGAGCGACGCGCCCAGCGGGCTAAGCTCGAAGCCGGCCGCACCCGCTGTCACCTCCGCCTCGGCCACGCCGCTCCCGTCGATCCGGAGCCCGCGCAGCGTCGTGCCCTCCGCCGCCTCCACGTACGACAGCGTCTGCTCCGCTGGCGCGGGCCGGTGCCTGTCCGACTTGGAGCGGTTCGCGTCGACCCAGCGCTCGGCGCGGACCGAGCCCGAGTCCTCGCTGCGCGGGAGCCCGAACGCTCCGGAAGGCACCATCGTGCGTCTTTCCGGCTTAGCGTGGGTCTCGCTCAGGTTCTCGCATTGCCCGGGTCCAGGATGCACAAAAAAATCCCGGTACCGGTTCTCGAGGTTCTCGAGGTGGATATCCTTTGGCCGCGTTGGGTAGCGAGGATTGGTGTGACGCGATCCACGCAGGCGTGTTTTCTGGCGGCCGACCGTCAGTGCACGGAGTTGCCCCTTCTCCGACTGCCCCGGCTAGTTCCCGAGTTTCGCGGGAGTGACCCCATGCGTCAAACCCGAGACCTAGCGCGGGTGGGTTGGAGGGAGCTCGCCCCGTTCCTCCCCATCGGGCCGCGTGAGCGGCCACGCCTCGCAGATTCGTTTTCGCGCCTGGGTCAGGCGCGCGGGGCATCCCCCGGGTCGCTCGACCAGCGATCCGAAGAGTGGCCGCTATGCGAGGGAAAGAGCGGGGCCCTCGACGCCTAAGGCTTGGGATCGGAGGACCCCGGGTGAGGCCTGGAGTCAACTGTCGGAGGAGGAGAGAGTCGAGCTGACTCGGCCTCTGCGAGTGGAGTCGGGCCGTGCGAGCCCACCGGGGGTAGACCCGTCGCGGCGTCGGCTGGACCGCCGGGATTTACGACAAGAGGGACCGTGCCCCCCCGAGCTTAGTGAGGAGCCGGTGGAGGGTGAGGGCGAGCCGAGAACGATAGAGAGGCCGCGGATGCGGGCGCGACTCGCCGACCTGGGAGAGCCGGCTCGACCTCCCTGGGAGGCGCGGCGAGAGGATCCATTGTGGCCGCATTCGCCTGGGGAGACCTCTGCCGGGCCGTCGACGCCCTCGGAAGCGGTGGAGTCGGGAGAAGCTGGCGGAGATGAAGGGCGGCAGCGGAGAAAGCGACATCAACAACGAGGGAAACGACCATACCGGTCGTCGCATAACGCTCGGGAGACGAGCAAGAGGGCGAATCAAGGAGGGTCGGGACCCTGGGAAGGCGAGGGGTGAGCCCTCAGGCGGGGGGGTCTACTCGAACGTCTACGCAAGTGAGTGTAGAGGGGTGGTGTGGGGCGTGCAGTGTAGTGTTCATTAGCTCCGAGTAGAGGGGGCGTCCTGCAGTTAAGGGGAACCCCGGTACGCGGGGCTAACCCTCGGAGACCTGTGTTTACTTTATGGCCCTCTCCCTGCGAACGCGCACCCCCCCCCTAGGGGTCAGGGCTCTCTAGCCCGTAGCCCGATCCCGATCATCCGGCCCGCTGGGTGCGCTTCTTAGCTCCCCGGCCCTGGATGTGAGGCTAATGACTGCACTCCAACTGCTCCAAGTGCGGCGGAGCTAACCCTCGGAGACCCGTGTTTACTTTAAGGCCCTTTCCCTGCGAACGCGCACCCCCGGGGCTAGGGCTCTCTTGCCCGCAACCCGACACCGATCATCCGGCCCGCTGGGCGCGCTTCTTAGCTCCTCGGCCCTGGATGTGAGGTTACCGACTGCACTCCAAGTGCTCCAAGTGCGGCCGTCTGAGCGGGCGGCGCCCCAGCAGACCCAGGGGGGCCCGCTGGCGCGCAGCCTCGACAGCGCGCGGGGGGCACGCCCGCGGGCCGGCCCGCGCGACACCCCCCCGCCTGCTCACTACACCGCTAGAGCGCGTAGCAAACTCTCGATTTGGGCACGGTGGGTGTAACGAGCGGGCGTAGACCTTAGTGGGTGTGAGTACGGCCGCTCCGCTCTATAGTCACTATTAGAGGAGATTTTAGAGGATTCAGCTTTCCTCTAAACCGTGTGCATGCGCGTGGTTCGTCGATTTCAAGCTCTCGGCCCAGACCTGCCGCGCCACCCACGCCCACCCCTCCCGCCGCGTCTGCTGCGTCCCTCGCGCCGACCGACCGCCGCTGCCGCGTTCGCTGGCTGCGGATGCACAGCATCCACAGGAGCCTGCTGCTGGCAGACAAATGTAGTCTGCACCGCCACGTGCGCTCCAGCGGCAGCGATGGGCAGCGCAGGCTGGCGGCAGGTCGGGCACTTGGTGTCGCGCTCCAGCACGCGCAGCGCGCAATCCTCACAGTAGAGCGCGTGGCCGCACGCGAAGCGGACCGAGCGCGGCGCGTCCCAGCAGAGGTCACACAGGCGCTCCTCCGCTGCTGCCGTCTCCTCCACCGCCCTCGCCGCTTCGACTAGCGCCTCCAGCCGCGGCAGTGCCTCTGCGAGCGGCATCCGCTTCGGTTTCCTCTCGTACGCCAGCCCGACCACGAGCCGCACCAGCTCCTCGGCCTGCGCCGCCGACCAGCCAGCGTCAGCCGCCGCGATGCCCTCCGCGGTGTCGGGCTCCTCCAGGGCAGCGTAGCACTCGTCGAGGAGGCCGACGGCGCCGCGGCCGGTCAGGGCGACGAGCAGCGTGATGCCGAGCGCAAAGCCGTCGGTCAGCTGCGAAGCCTGCCCGCTCTGCGAAATGATCGGGTCCATGTACCCAAGCTTGCCGAAGAGGCGCTGCGTCGACAAATGCGATACCTGCTGGCTGCCGCCGGCCGTCGCCTCTGCCGCGCGCGCGAGGCCCACGTCGGCGAGGTAGCCGTTGCCGCGCTCGTCGAGCAGGATGTTGCCCGCCGAGACGTCGCGGTGCAGGATCATCGGAGAGCGCGTGTGCAAGTAATGCAGCGCGCTCGCGGCGTCGCGCAGCACGCGGAGCCGTGCGGCGGCGGAGAGCGGCGGAGGCGGCGTCTCGAAGCCGAGCATGCGGAGCCGCTGCAGTGCGGCTGGAGCGCGGTAGAGGCGATCCTCGAGGCTGCCGCCGCGGCAGAGGGGGTAGACGAGGCACGCTCTCGCCGGTGCCAAACAGACGCCGAGCAGGGGAAGCAGGGACCGGTGGCACGCCGCGCTGAGCGTGCGCACCTCGCTCTGCAGCTCGGCGAGGCCTTGGGCGCCGACACCGACCAGCGCCGTCTTGACGGCGAACCCGCTCGCGACGCGCGGCAGCGACGGCAACGTGTCGCAGCGGTAGACACGCCCAAAGCCGCCCTCGCCCACCTTGCGCGCCTCGTCAAAGCCCTCGGTCGCCGCGGTGAGCTCGTCGAGAGGGACGGCGGAGGGCGGTGCGGCGGCGGCGGCGAGAGCGGCGACACTCGCCGCCGCCTCTGCCGCCTCTGCCGCCTCTGCCGCCGCTGCCGCGGCCGCCGCCTCCGCTACCGCCGCCTCTTGAGCCTCTGCCACCGCCACTGCCGCCACTGCCGCCTCTATAGCCGCCGCCTCCGCCGCGGCCTCCGCTGCCGCCTCCGCCGCCGCCTCCGCCGCCACCGCTGCCGCCGCCTCCGCCTCCGCCGCCACCTCCGCCGCCTCCGCTGCCGCCCTCATCCTCGCCTCCTCCCTCTCCCTTGCCGCCTTCTCCCTTGCCCTCGCCTCTTCCTCCTCCCTTGCCCGCGCCGCCGCCTCCGCCTCCTCCGCCGCCCGCGCCGCCGCCTCCGCCTGCCTCGCCGCCGCCTTCTCCTCCTTCTGCCGCTGCCGCTTCAGCGCCCTGGCCTCGCGGGTCTTTCGCTCCGCCAGCTCGTCGCGCAACCGCCGCGCCGCCCGCAGCGCCTCCGAACCGTCGGCGGCCTGGGTGGTGTTCGCGTTGATCACCGCCCTGAGTGCCTCGAGATCGGCGTCGCCTCGGCCGCACGCCTCAACCGCCTCGCGCAGCGCGGACTCGGCAGCATCGCGCGCCTCTGCCGCCTCTGCAGCCGCTGCCGCCTCGCGTGCGGCCGCCGCGGCCTGTTCGGCCACTGCCGTCTCCCCCTCCGCCTCTGCTGCGGCCGACGAGTGCTCCTCGAGGGCGCGCACGCACTCGGTGTGGCCCTGCTTCTTGGCCCACTGAAGCGCCGTCTTGCCGTCAGAGGTAGGCGCCGCGTCTGCGCCAGCCCGCAGCAAGCGCCGCACGACGGCGGGGTGGTTCGAGTAGGTGGCGGCCATCAGCGCGGTGAAGCCGTCGCTGCTCTGCAAGTTGATTCTAGCGCCGTGCCGAATCAGCAGCTCGACCAGCCGCTCGTGGCCTTTCAAGGCGGCGTTCATCAGCGCGGTGCTGCCGTCGCTACCCTGCAGGTTGACCTCCGCCCCGCGCCGTATCAGCAGCTCGACCACCCGCTCGTGGCCGCCGTTGGCGGCGCCCACCAGCGCGGTGATGCCGTCGCTGTCCTGCTTGTTGATCTCCGCGCCGTGCTGCAGCAACAGCTCGACCAACCGCTCGTGGCCGTGGAAGGCGGCGCCCATCAGCAGCGTGAGGCCGCTCACGCCGCCTTTGATGCCGCTCACGCCGCCTTGCTCGTACGTCGCGTCGACCCGCCCGCCGCCCTCGAGCCACGCCAGCACCGCCTCCTCCTCGCCTCGCTCCGACGCTGCCACGACCGCATCGGGGGCTGCCGAGACACCGCTCGACGCCTGCTGCGCCGCCACTGCTGGAGATAGCGTCTTCGCGACGCTCGATCCAGCCGAGGGAGCGCCGCCGGAGGAAGCGCCGCCTGCGTCTGCGCCGCCGGCTGCCGCCGCCGTGGTCTGTCCCGCCAGCATATCCTGGACGTGCTGCCTGAAGGCCTCGACGCACTCGGCGTGTGCCAAGGATAAGGGCGGCAGACTGGCACACTGCAGCGCCGTCATGCCGCTCGTGGTGCGCGCAGCCGTGTCTGCGCCCGCCCGCAGCAAGCGCCGCACGACGGCGGGGCGGCCGTTGCCGGCAGCCATCATCAGCGCGGTGCAGCCGCCGCTGCCCGGCAAGTTGACATCAGCGCCGCGCCGCAGCAGCAAGTCGACCACCCGCTCGTGGCCTTGGAAGGCGGCGCCCATTAGCGCGGTGCAACCTTCGCTGTTCTGCAGGTCGACATCCGCGCCGCGCTGCAGCAGCAGCTCGACCACCCGCTCGTGGCCGTTGCCAGCGGCGAGCATCAGCGCGGTGTGGCCGTTGCTGTTCTGCAGGTTGATCTCCGCGCTGTGCCGTATCAGCAGCTCGACCACCCGCTCGTGGCCTTTGCCGGCGGCAGCCATCAGCAGCGTGAGGCCGCTCACGCCGCCTCTCTCGTACGTTGCGTCGGCCCGCCCCCCGCCCTCAAGCCACGCCAGCACCGCCTCCTCCTCGCCACGCTCCGTTGCTGCGATGACCGATTCGGGGGCTGCCACACCACCGCTCGACGCCCGCTCCGCCGCCGCCGGCGACAGATTACCGGGCCGCACCCGCACGCTCTCGCCGCCGCCCTCGAGCGCCACCGCGTACCGCCCGCCCTCGAAGCTCTGAGCCACGCCCCGCCGCCCGTTCAGCTCGGGGCGGGAAGAGAGCCCGCCGAGTACGACTCGCTGGCCGAGCAGCGGCGCGTCCACCGCTGCCGCTGCCGCGCCCGACGAAGCGCCGCCCGCCCCTGCCCGGCCGTCTGCAGCCGCCGCCGCCTCCGACAAAACCTTGACGCACTCGGTGTGGCCCTTTTCCTTGGCCAGCTGCAGCGCCGTCTTGCCGTCAACAGTGCGCGCCGCGTCTGCGCCCGCCCGCAGCAAGCGCCGCACAACGGCGGGGTGGTTGACGAGGGCGGCGATCATCAGCGCGGTGAAGCCTTTGATGTGCTGCAGGTCGAGCTCCGCCCCGTGCCGCAGCAGCAAATCGACCACCCGCTCGTGGCCTTGGCTGGCGGCGAGCATCAGCGCGGTGTGGCCGTTGCTGTTCTGCAGGTTGATCTCCGCGCTGTGCCGTATCAGCAGCTCGACCACCCGCTCGTGGCCTTTGCCGGCGGCAGCCATCAGCAGCGTGAGGCCGCTCAACTTGCCGATCTCGTACGTCGCGTTGACCCGCCCGCCGCCCTCAAGCCACTCCAGTATCGTCGCCTCGTCGCCTCGGTTAGCTGCCGCGATGACCGCATCGGAGACTGGCACGCCACCGCTCGACGCCCGCTCCGCCGCCACTGGCGACAGATTACCCGGCCGCACCCGCACGCTCTCGCCGCCCTCGAGCGCCACAGCGTACCGCCCGCCCTCGAAGCTCTGAGCCACGCCCCGCCGCCCGTTCAGCTCGGGGCGGGAAGAGAGCCCGCCAAGCACGACTCGCTGGCCGAGCAGCGGCGCGTCCTCAGCTGCCGCTGCCACGCCCGACGAAGCACCGTCCGCCCCTGCTCGGCCCTCCGCAGCCAACGCCGCCTCCGACAAGACCTTGACGCACTCGGTGTGGCCCTCCTCCTTGGCAACCTGCAGCGCCGTCTTGCCGCTCGCACCGCGCGCCGCCGCGTCTGCGCCCGCCCGCAGCAAGCGCCGCACAACGGCGGGGTGGTTGAAGAAAGCGGCGTACATCAGCACGGTGAAGCCGTCGCTGCTCTGCAGGTTGACCTCCGCCCCGCGCCGTATCAGCAGCTCGACCACCCGCTCGTGGCCTCGGCTGGCGGCGTGCATCAGCGCGGTGATGCCGTCGCTGTCCTGCTTGTTGATCTCCGCGCCGTGCTGCAGCAGAAAGTCGACCACCCGCTCGTGGCCTCCGATTGCGGCGCCCATCAGCAGCGTGAGGCCGCTCACGCCGCCTCTCTCGTACGTCGTGTCGACCCGCCCGCCGCTCTCGATCCACGCCAGCACTGCCTCCTCCTCGCCTTGCTCAACTGCTGCCACGACGTCGGAGCGCGCGACACTGCCTGACACCGGCTCCGCCGCCGCCGGCGACAGATTACCCGGCCGCACACGCACGCTCGCGCCGCCGCCGTCGAGCGCCACCGCGTACCGCCCGCCCTCGAAGCTCCCCGCCACGCCCCGCTGCCCGTTCAGCTCGGGGCGGGAGGAGAGCCCGCCGAGCACGACGCACTGCCCGAGCAGCGGCGCGTCCATGTAGATGCCGCTCGCTCGCGCTCGCGCTCGCTGCTGCCGCGCCCGAGGAAGTGCCAGTCCGCGCCGTCCGCGTCGGCCCGTCTTTTTACCTATCGGCGTGTATTCTTTTTTCGAGCCTCCGGCCCTGCCCTGCCCCTACCTACCTACCTACCTACCCTACTTATGGGAAACTAAAAAAGAAATCACCCGATGGGTGAAGGTGGGGTACCATACCAACTAAAGTGATGGTTGGTGGTACTCTCCTGCAACCACAGTCCTTCCTGTGACATGGCAGGCCACTCTCAAGCCCTACAAGCACCAGATCACCCATTTGGGGAGGGTTGACATCGTGATTTTCGCGGAAAATTTCTTTTTCTGAAAATTCCAGAGCAGGTTGAGGAAGCTCAGCGCCGGCGCGCCCTCGATGGAGGCGGTGAGTGCGTGGGCGCCTGCCGGAGAGGGCGGGGCCACACACTCTGTCTCGGCCACAGGAGGTCCGCTGTCACGGCGCTGGGCGCTCCGGGGTCTTAGGGCGGTCAGGGGCGGTCAGGGCCAGGGCGGGTAGGGCTAGGGCAGGGCGGTTAGGGCGATGGCGGTTATAGGGCTAGGGAGGGCTAGCGGCTAGCTAGGCGAGAGAGTGGCCGGCGCCCTTGTCGGAGATTGCGTTTGCGCCGAGGTCGAGCGACTTTAGGCTGTCGCGGCGCCGGAAGAGAGGACCGCCGCCACCGCCTCCGCCTCGGCGTCGTGGTTTCGTATCAAGAATACTCACTCACTCACACTCACAGTGAGGGAGGGCGAGACGGTCGAGGGGTCCCGTACCATGCGGAATCGACCCTATCAAGTGCTCAAGTGCTCAGCCGACGATTCCTTTTTTTGTCTTTTACGGCAGTATCACATTGGGCGGCCGATGCGCAAACGTCCGTCCCGCGATGCCCTTCTTCAATCAGCAGCGGCGGCTCGCGAGGAGGCGAGACCTCAAGCGGCTGGGCCCCGAGGAGATCCAGCGCGAGTGCGATGCGATCGATGCGGCTTGCGATGAGGCAGCACGAGCTCGCGCCATGGCTCGGAGCCCGCCAGCTGAGTGCGCCATCTGCCTCGGTGCGGTTCAAGAAAGAGAGTGCCAGCCCAACCTCCTGGGCTCTGACTGAGCTGCTCCTCGCTTCTTTCAGGTGCAATGACAGGAGCTACGTGGCAGTGCCGCTACTGCGGTAATCGGACTCACGCTCGCTGTCACGAGGTGCATTCAGCCACACCGGAGAGAGCCATTGCGGTCGGCCTCGGCAAACCGCGTGCCCATGCATCCGCAGGCCTGGCTCGAGTACTCGACGACCTGCCCCTTTTGCCGCAAGCTCGACCGCAGGCCGCGAAAGAGCACACGCTGCTTCGCGATCGTCTGCGCTATTGCGCTCCTCTCAGCTCTCGCAGGTGCAAGCCACGGCACCAACTCCACCGGGTTCTCTCTTATTCCCTCTGCTGCTTGTGCGCGACAGGCACTGCAGGGTCGTCGGTTCCGTCGCCCGTGCCATCAAAGGAGCGCGGGGAAGGGTAGCAGGCCGCGCTGCTATCTCTTTTTATGTCGCATGTCTTTTGTTTAGTGAGGGGCGCAGGTGGCGGCACCCACGACCCAGAACGCAGAAGCTGCGAGACCTCGGCTGCGGACGTGAGTCTGAGTATACGGCTTACTGAGACCTGAAATGTATGAGATGGCTCCCTGACCACCGACTTCGTTGATTGAAGCGGCAAATCCATGCGACTTCACGTTTGTGATTCACAAACGTGTTACACTCTCGAGAGAGAGCAGAGAGCGCCCCTTCAGCAGCAGCGCCCGCTGCGCGCTCTCCCTCTAGCTACTGCCTTGTTCACAGTCCCCTTCGTCTGTGAGCCGCCGCGCACGAGCGCCACCGCGACTCTCGAGTTCATTGAGGGGGCTCCGCGCGCGGCTCACTCCGCCGGCGCCTGGCTGAGCACGGCATACGGGTTCGTGCCCTTTGCGAAGGCGGCGAAGGAGTCGCTGCCGCCTCCGAAGAGGGCTGCCGCCGCGTCGGGCGGCGCGTCGGCCGCCTTGGACCGAGGGGGGCGCGAGAGGTTTAGCAGCGCGGCCGCGGGGACGACAGCGGCGCGCGACGTCTCGAGGCGCGAGAAGTGGCCAAACGAGCAGAAGCCCTCGTGCTCGAAGATGACCTCGCAGCGCGCGCCCTGCGTCGCCAGCACGATGCCTCGCTCCCCAAACGGCACCGGCCCGGAGCCGCGCACGTACAGGACCGCCTCGCCCGGTGCGTGGGCCGCGGTCACGCCGGCGACGGAGACGCGCGGCTCGGTCGGGCAGAGCAGCTGCGTCGCGGGCAGCTCGACGACGAGGGGCGCCGCCGCCGCCTGCGCGGGGGCCGCCGCCGCCGCCGCCATCGCCCGCAGCTCGGCCTCTGCCCTCTGCACGGAGGTTGGCGAGAGCCGCAGCATGTCCGCGGGCACCAGCGGGGCGTCGCGCGAGCCGGTGCCCTCGAGCCACGCCTTGAGCGCGCGCAGCCGCGCCGCCGGGCCCGCCGGGTCCTCCCCCCCCTCGCCCCCGGCCGCTGCGCCGCCCTTTGGGGGGAGCAGGATGCCCGCCGTTGGGCCCCAGCCCGCCTCGGCCTCGGGCGCGGGGAAGGCGTCGGCGAGGGAGTACGCGTCTGCGCGCGGCTTGCAGAGCAGCATCGCGAAGACGGACGGGAACTCGGCCTGGTACTCGCGCAGCGTGCGCTCCGCCAGGCCGAGGTACTCCCACACCTCGTCCGACCCGCCGGCGGACGGGCGCAGCCGGCACCAGCCGACGGCCACCAGCCGCTGCCTCCGCGACTTGATGCCGAGCCCGATCTCGACCTTCCTCCCGCCGCCGTCGAGCAGCGTGACCGAGCCCGACAGGCGCGCCACGACCACCGTCGGCACGTTCAGCCGCTGCGCCAGGTCGCGCTCGGACTGGCCCCGCTCGGGGATCACCATCGGGAGCGACGGCATCGGAGGCGCGCACCGGAGCGACACACGCACGCGCGCGGCCGCCGCCGCCGCCGCGACGGCCGCGGCGGCGGCCGCACGTAGCTCCTCGAGCGGCGGCTCCGGAGCGGCGGCGGCGGCGGCGGCGGCCGCCTCTCCCTCCTGTCCCTCCTGTCCCTCCGCCCCCCTCCCCGCCGCCGCCGCCCGCGCCTCCACCTCGAGCGCCTCGAGGCTGCCGCCGCCCAGCAGCGCCTCGACCGCCGCCTGCACGTCGCCCCCCTCGCGCCGCAGCACGAGCCTCGCCACCGCCGCGCTGGCGGCCGGCACGACCTCGAGCACCCTCTCCTCCTCCGCGCTCGCCGCCGCCGACGCCCCCCCCGCCGCCGCGGAGGAGGACGCCTCGCCCGACGCGCGGCCGGCCGCAGCCTCAGCGGCCGCAAGCCGCTCCTTCAGCGCCGCCGCGCGCGCCGCCGCGACGGCCGCCGCCGCCGCCTCGGCCTCGCGCGTCGGCGTCACGGGCGAAGACAGGACCGTGCCGACGGCGCCAAAGTGGGGGCCGCCGGTGACGGCGACGCGGCGCGAGGGCTGGAGCCGGGCCTGCGTGGCGAATGCGCCAGCCTCCGGGCGTGGAACACGGTGTGGTGCAGAGTACTCGGAGCACCGCGTGAGTACGAGGCGGGTCGAGTGCAGTGAGGGCCGCGGAACGCGGTCGAATACGGCGGAGGGCGTGTCCTCTCGAGCGCCGGCTGGAGGACGAGAGTGCGTCCGCTTCCGCGTCTAGGCAGCCGGGCCAGCCCGCTGACGCCGCCCGAGCGCGGGGGCAGCGCCTCGAGGTGCCACTCCGGGAGCACGAGCTGCGCCGGCACGGGCAGCGGCGTGTCCGCCCACCGCTGCTGCAGGCTGCCTATCGCGCGTCGACCCGCAACTCACCCTTCGCTCCGGCGGGCGGGAGCCCGCACGCTCCCGCAGGCCGCCGTCGCGGCCGATCGAGTAGCCGGCGAGCGGGCGCACCTGCGGGGGGGGGGGATGCGCCCGAGATTACGCGCGAGGAGCCGAGGCCGAGCGCGGCAGCTGGCCGAGCGGGCGCGGGCGCGCGTAGACGACGAGCGCCACGCGCCCCGTGTCGAGCGCGCGGTGGTGGAGCGTGTTGAGGCGCAGCTCGTCCTGCAGCTGCCGCCACTCGCCCGGGTGGATGTCGCACTCCTGCAGCTGCCCGCGCCGGTCCGCCCACCACCGCCCGGCCGCGGTCGCGAGGGAGGTTGCGACCGCCACGTCGGCGTACGGCCAGTCGACGTACACGCGCCCCCTGCCACTGCCGAGCAGCAGCCGCCGGGCGAGCGAGGCCGCGTCCGAGCCGGCGGCGCTCTCGATCGCGGCGCCGAGCTGGTGGGCGCCTACTCAGGCTCGGTGTGTGGCTGCGAGTCGGTGGCAGACGCGCGACTCCTCGGCCGCCGAGCTGGTGTGGCGCCCGGCAGCTCGATGATCCACGACGCGCCCCGCGCCTCGCAGTGCGGAGGACGCCGCGCTCAGAGGCGCCGAGCTGGGCAGTGGCCGAGCTGGGCAGTGGCCGAGCTGGGCAGTGGCCGAACTGGGCAGGTGTGCGTTCGGGAGCACGCGACAGAGTGCCGTCGACGCCGTGGGCTCTTCAGGTGCGGCTGGAGGGCAGGGGTGTGGCGGTGCGCTCGGGCATCCGGTGCGCCGCGCCTTGGAGGCGATGCACTCGAGGAGGACGCCCTCGGCGCGGAGGGACCTACTCACAGCTCCACGGTTCACAGCTCCACGATTCACAGCTACGATTCACAGCCCTCGGCGCGGAGGGACATGGTGAAGGGCAGCCGCATCGCCAGCTCGGGCCAGCCGCGCGGCGGCGTCGCAGCGACGACCGCCGCGTCGTCGGACGGCCGCGCCTGCGAGAGGCAACACGCAGCTGAACAGCCGCGCCCCTCGTGAGCCAGACGGCTGCCGAGCGCCCCAAGTCCGCGCCTGGCCGCGCGGGGGGGCGCCGCTCATGCGCAGCGCGACCGAGCGCGCGGGGGCGAGCGGCGGCAGCCGGCCGGCGAAGGCGGCGGGCGGCGCCAGCTCGCCGCGCTGCGAGCCGTCGAACGCGAAGGCGTACGCGAGGCCGTGCCGGTTGCGCGCCGCGTCGGCGGGCGGCGGCGGCGGCAGCGCGGCGACGGCGTCGAGCAGCGCGGCGACGTCGAGGAAGGGGAGGAGGGCGAGGTCGCGCCACGGGCGGCCCTTTGGGTCCTTCTCGATGATGTAGTCGCGCGGGTAGTGCGGGCGGAGCGGGTGGCCGCCCGCCGGGTCGCAGGCGGCGAGCAGCAGCTGCGCGTGCGGCGGCGGCAGGTGGCGCGCGCCCGAGGCGGGCAGCACCGACAGCAGCTGCTCGAACGGGCGGAGCGGGGCCGACGGCGCCCACGCGGCGGAGCCGGCGGCCGGGTCGAGCGAGAGGAGGGCGGCGACGTCGACGAGGAGGGGCGAGTGGTGGTACGGAAAGTACCTGTTGCCAGCGCGAGGTGTGAAGAGGAGGCGGCCTTGAGCAGCAGCAGCGGAGGGGAGGCACCTGTTCACAGCGCGAGGTGTGAAGAGGAGGCGGCCTTGAGCAGCAGCAGCGGTACGGGAAGCACCAGTCCCACGAGGGCACCCCGTCGAGGTAGTATGAGAGCGACCAGCGCAGGCCGCGCAGCAGCTCGGTGCACCAGCGCACGACGTAGCGCGCCAGCGCGCGGCCGTCCAGCGGCGGCGGCGGCGGCGCGCCCGGCGCCGGGGACGACTGGAGAGGCACGCGCGCCGCGTAGTAGCGGGCGTGCGCCTCCGCCTGCCGCGGCGGCAGCGCGCGGAAGTGCAGCTCCATGAGCCCCGCCACCCGCTCCACCCCCTCCGCCTCGCTCTCGCCCTCGCGCCCGCCCGCGAGCGCCGCCTCTGCGAACGACGCGGCGGAGACGGACGCCGCCAGCGGCGGCTGCGGCGGCGGCGGCGGCGGCGGAAGAGGCGCCAGCATGTGCGCGGGCGGGGGCGGGGGCGGCGGCGGCAGTGGCGGCAGTGGCGTCGGCGGCGGCAGAGGCTCCTCGTGTGCCTCCACCACCGCCGCGTCGGCCGCCCGCGCCGTGGAGGTGGTGAAGGCCGTCGCGAAGCCGCTGTAGATGGACGGGGCGGTGCTATTTGCGGCGCCGTCGGCGGCCGCGCCCTCGTCGGAAGGCGCGCCGTGCGCGGGCGCGGAGCCGGCGCCGCCCTCGACGCCGTTGCCGATGCGGAGCAGTCGGCGGAGCGCCTGAAGGCAAGAGCTAGCGAGGGGGGCTCAGAGAGGGAGCCGAGTGCGCTCCTTTCTCGCGGCAGCGGCCGGGCGGCGCGGCGCCTCGGAGGCGGCGTCGGGCGGCGGCACGACAGGCACGGCCGCCCCCCACGCACCGACCGGCGCGGCCGGGGGAGGAGGAAAGAAGGCGGCGGGCGGCGGCTCCGCAGGCGCCTGCGGCGG